ATTTCATCTGTTGAGAATTCTCTGTTCAGGTCAGTGCCCCATTTTTTAATTGGGTTAATTAGCATTTTAACGTCTAGTTTCTTGAGTTCTTTATATATTTTGGAGATCAGACCTTTGTCTGTTGCGGGGGTGGTGAAGATCTTCTCCCAGTCAGTGGGTTGCCTTTTTGTCTTAGTGACAGTGTCCTTTGCTTTGCAGAAGCTTCTCAGTTTCAGTAGGTCCCATTTATTCAATGTTGCCCTTAGTGTCTGTGCTGCTGGGGTTATACATAGGAAGCGATCGCCTGTGCCCATCTGTTGTAGGGTACCTTCTTAATACCAGAAAAACCAGGTCTAGATATTAGCCACACCTGTTGACAAGCTCCAACTCTCTGACCTTTAGTCAATGGACCCACACCTCTGGGCTCTGTCACAGAGGTCACACATTTAAAAGACAACAAGGAGGACAGGTTACAAGTGAGGTGTTTCAGGGAGGGAAAGGAAAGGGAATACGATGTAATCATATTTTAATTAAAAAAAATAAAAACAAGTTTCATAAAACAAACATTAATGGATGAATGAAATGAAATTGGAAGTTATTGAGTAGCTAATTAACTAATTCTGTTTCTATCTTGTGCCTTTAGATTCTCTTTCCAGGAAAATATTTCCTGTCAGGTCTTCCTGACAAGGCATTTGCATATTGTGGAGCCAGAACAAGAAGTGAAGCATGGTGTCTGTGGTATTAAAGGGACTGAAGTTTGTTCCCAGTGCAAACCGTCAAGGCAGAGATGACCAGGAGATCAATGTGGAAGGGTGCTTCAGGTACCTTGCAAAACAATAAGTCCCCAAGTCAGTGTCAGGCAAAAAGCAACCTTCAGAACTCAGGCATGTGAGTGTGGCTCTGTCCACCCCTATTTAAGACCTCAAAACCACGGGTCCTGAGAGTCAAAGTAAATCATCCACTATATGGGAGGACTAGCAAAGCATCTAAAACTAGAAAGAGAGAAGACAGGAAACTCACTGGACTTGGTTTGGTGGAGCTGTGCAGGGAAAAGAGGAGCAAGAATCAGCCTTTGCTCCAAAGAGATAGTTCCACCAGGTAACCTGCCTGCAAATGATTTTCTACAATGTTTTTTTTTGTTGTTGTGGTTGCTGTTGTTGTTGTTGTTTTAACAGTTTGGGCCCTTACAAAAGACTTGGGCAGTTCTCACCCTGCTGAACTTGGAAGAAAAGAGATGTGGAGCAAATCTGGCACACTGTGAAACTTCCTTCTCACAGCTGGGACCACAGGGTGAGTCTGCAAAGCTCCATAGAATGACCCAGATTAACCATCTGCCAAGGGATGTCATATTCCAGTTACTTTGCTTCTCACAGAAGTCCTGAGTTCCCAAAAATCAAACCCCACATTTTAAAATACAATTTCTTCATTCATTTTCTCCATTATATAACATCTTAAGTTATTAAAATGGTTTTTGTCTCTATCAACAACATAGAGAATAAACTTTGACAAAAACAATCCAGATCAGGGCTAAAGCAATTCAAATTATCTAGAAGAACACTGAAAATCAGCCAAGAGTTTTTGTCTTTGTTTTCAGGGTTGCAGGTAAAGCCTGTTTGGTTGGTTGGTTGGTTAGTTAGTTGGTTGGTTAGTTGCTTGCTAGCTTGTTTGCTTTTCTTGGTAACACATTTTCTAATTTCTAATGAATTTCTAAGATGTGAGAGAGATGGTGCTTTTCTTTCACAAATATATATGAGGGTATACTGACACACACCTTTTATGGCAGTACTTGGTAGTCAGAGATAGGTCTATCACTGTGAATTCCTGGCCATTCTGTTCTGCAAATTGGGTTTCAGGTCAGTCAGAACTCAATAGACCTCTATGTTTGTGTATCAGTGTACATATACATGTTCATGTGTGTGTGCGCGCATGTGCGCGGGACGATAAATTTGTTAAACAAAGTGCTTGTTCAGGCTTTTAAGTGTAAAATGATCCATGGTCAGAAATCCCAAGTATATCTTATGTAGAAAGGTCAGTTCCTTTAATCCTTTCTGACTCTTAGATCCCCCTGTGACCTAAGAGCACATATCACATCTGTTTTTTTCATTGAATGCTTATTTCAAAAATAAAGGGATGAGTATGACCAGAATGTTTTCTATACCTGTATGACATTGTCTAAGAATAAATTGAAAGTTATCTGCTTTCTGATTTATGAATTAAATGTCTCATTTTCTACTTTATTTGTGACATTCTCTCAAAAGTTTACAAAATCTCATATGAAGCGAATCCACCTCCACTCTGTGAGGAGGGGCCAAGGAAGCCATAACCCTGGAGCTTTGCTTGATTTCTTATAGTCTGTTTGTGATCATCATTTTACTAAATGCCATTGGCTATTATCCTACAGGGCACTGTACTGGTGACTGTTCCCCACAAGTTTTTAGAGTTTGAGGAAGAAATTACAATTGAACAAATTATAAAAATGCACTGAACTAAATGCTTCAAAAGCAGGATCTAAAGAGTGGACCTTGAGAAAAGCATCAATATTTTGAAGCTATCTGGAGGAGTTGCCATATACGCTGAGAGGATTTAGCTTGTAGATGGAGGGGAAGATGTCTCTAAGCTGCCAAATTTCTGTAGTTTAGTATGACTGGATTACTGAATTCAATGCAAGGAATTTGAGATGAGACTGTGGTGAGGAGCACACAAACCCAGAGGCTTCTCTATCTCACAGCAAACTGAAATGGAAGACCAATTACTGAAGAATGAATTTCTGACCTCATGTGCATTTCACTCAACAATATATGTGGACTCTTAAAGTGAAAACAGCAACTCTAAACTCAATTTCAAGTAAGTCTAGAGAAGAGAAAATACTTGAGAAAAATATACAACATCTATTTTCAGATTATGTTTTAAGTATCTATTGATTATGGCAAAACTAAGTACAGTAAAATCAATAAGAAAATACAATTAAATAGAAAGAGAGATAATCAGAATTAGATTGCCTATTTACCTAAATTAAAGTCCAGTTGGATTCACATAAATTCATTGCTTCATTTCTTTCTCCCAAGAGGTCATATTTAAGGAAATAAAATAATAATTTATTTTCAGGTTTTTAATTTTAAGTGATATACATAAAATTAAGTTATGTGCATGTTTACTATGGTTGACGTTTGATTAAAATCAAAAGAGTTGCTTTTACTAATAATGCAACATTAACAGGATATTAAAAAACATTTCATTTGTAATTTAGAAAGTGCTGAGTTAGTTATTAAATTATCCTAGGCAATAATAGTTAGGAAACTAATTTTTCTTAAACAGCTGATATCGTGAATTCATACAAAAAAGGGAAAAATAAAAGCCGAAGGACAAGTAAACATCCTTCCAGATGTTCTGCTTCAAAGCGACTAGGTTTGTTTTAGCTGAGCCCAGCAACTCTTCCAGGACATCCTGGGAGATGACATCTCATGCAGGGCAATATATAAAATCAGGTGTTGAGCTCAGAAGAGTACAATTTACTATAACCACTTCTAACAGCCTCAGCAAAAGAAAAATTGTTTCATAAAGAGAAAGAAGACATTCATAACAACCCCTCTTCACAGAGGATGAGAACAATAACTTCGCAAGATAAATGCTCATTTCTTTAAATTTTATGCCTTTTTTTTTGCAAATTGTATGATTTCAGATGAGATTTAAACCAATTTTCTGCAAGTTCGATGTCCTAATCCTTAAGTTCAAGAAATGCTCTACAGTGTGGGATGTAGACTAATGAACATGTACCAACGATAAGGCTTTTTAATTATCTGACAGTGGCAATATTCAAAGAAATTATGATATAGATTTTCCTTTTCGAGCCCTTTCCATTTCTGTGGTAATAATCTCATGTCTCTTATTGTAAATTTTAGAAAACCCCTGGGAATGGATATCTCTCCGGATGTCAAAAGCAGATAGAACTGTCAAGTTATCATGGTGACAGTAGCTGTCCAAGTAGCTAGGAAAACAACGACCATGTCCTGCTGTGATTCTACTTTGTGTGGGGGCCTAAAGGAAGAAATTAAGCATTTGTCAAGAAAATTGCAACAGGTAATAACATATTATGATACTCTGGTCCAAACTTCCATCTGGTTGCTACTAATCTGGTAGCTTATTTGTGTATCTGTTTCTAGAGCTCTCCAAATACATGATAGTACAATAATTGAAATAAAAATATACTCACATATTAATTTAATAACTGCTTAAGAAAACTACTGGATCACAGTAAAATAAGCAGATAAAGGTTTTAAGTTGTATATTCTGAGCTGGTATTGACAATTTTATCTGTGTACCAATATAATCTTTCCCCAGATAACCACTTTTCCTATTTTCATAAGAAGACAAATTTAAATGTTTAAAAAAATAATGTGGGGATTGCTGAATATTTAAAATTAAACTTTATTCTAACGTATTTATTTCCCTTTAGAAAAGTATAGCTAATTACTCAAAATGGAAATAGCCTAATTCGCTTTATCTTAGTTTATCGGCACTGCACAGGGAGAAGGCAACAAATGAATGACCTGATATGAATATAGGGCAGATTGAGGAGTGTTTGAGCTTGGATTTTGACTCCCCAGAAGATTGCAGCTCTGACTCTTCTTATCTGACTATGGCTTGACTGGAAAACAAGATCTTTTCAGATATAATCGAATTAAAATGAGCTGATTAGAACAAAACTAGAGTACGTGTTTGGGCTGTTCTTTACTCAGAGACTGATTCTTCCTGGATTCACGTCTCCACCTCGTAGAAACACACCCAGTGGTCCGGCATTCTGGTGCACACCAACAACTTCTGAGTTCTGTGTGTAATGGAGGAGACGATGACTGCTCCCACTGGGGCTTCTTTCTGCTACAATAAGGCCTCACCTGTTCAGCCGGCAGCACAGGTTAGTGCAGGACGATAATGGAATGAAAAAACGGAAGGCTCTGGAGGGTCTTTTCGGGAAACATCACATAGCCTAGCAGATGAGCAACTATTTCCTCCCTTACCATCTCAAAGAAAGGTTATTAAAGTAGTGATTATCATTAAAGACAGCTCTGACCCAGGGGACTTGGTAAAAATCATTAGGACTTCGCTTACAACTATTTGGCTTCCTGCTCCCCAGTGACTTTTCAGGAAGCCAATTAGCTCTCTGGGAATGTAACTGCACGCCAAGACGCTAGCGCTAGCATAACAGAAACACAGGAGGGGTGGCTTCCATTGCCTTAAAGCTAACTGTCTCTCTCTGTTCCCATCGATTTCATGATGGCCATTTGGGCTCAAAGGGAGAGAGAATTTTAGTGCCCCCCCAAAATTACACTTAGCCAGAGGCACAGAATATATAATCACCCTGCATGAGGGGCCCTCTTTCTGTCATCCTCTGCCCTTCTCTGTATTCCTCTTCTCTCAATTCTGTTTTTAATTTGCTTGCCAGACAATCCTTCTGACCTCACCTAAACTGAAACATTTTAAAAAGCTGCTCAGTGTGGCAGAGTAGCACTGTAAGCCAGAACTCCAAAATGGGTGTGTGCTCACTGTTTTCAAAATCCCGCGCCACTGTGGCTGCTAATGACAAATTCCCCAACCCGCTCAGTGATGCTCGCTTTTCTTTGATCCCCATGTCTGGGTCACACAATGCATGGCTCCATCTTTTGTAATCTTCACTGTTTCACCCAAAGGACTTTACCTGAGGCCACCCTGTCACAAACCTCAGCTGCTTCAAAGTAAGCCGCGTGCTCAAGAGAGTTCCCTGCTTGATAAAATGGAATGTCTGCCTCAAAGTCCGGCCGGCGTGGGCTCTCTTTCCCTTGTTCTGGGCTGAGGTAGCAGTGGTAAGATTGATCCTACCAGCACAGGATGTGGGAGTTTAAAGGATTTTAGACGCATGTAGTGTGACTCTCTCCGGGGTCCAGAGGCTAAGCGACTTACTTGAGGTCCTCAGATTAAGTAGTGGTAAATCAGGTACATTAACCCAAGGCTCTCAGCTCCTGTGCCTCAGCCTCTACCTGCGCAGGGGAGCAGTATAATGAAACCCCACACAGCTTAAAAGAAATTAGGTCAAAGATCATCCTTCTGAAAAACTGGCCTCTTACCAAGATTAATGATGGAGTCTCTCTAGTGACTTTTGCAGCGAGGCCACATACTTCACTTGAAACGGTGAGATAGGTAGGTATGTTTCCTTTGAGTTTTTCTTTCAAATAAAATCATAAGAAACTCTCTAGTACCAGGTGCTCCGACATGTCATCAGTTTACTTTCCTGCGCTCCCTGGTCAATAAGGAATTGCATAGTAATTTTATGAAAGTAAAGATGAAACATATGCACCTGTTAAATCCGCTTAAACGAAAGCATCAGCAGCATTATGCTGTGAGATTGTATGACAACAGGAACCCCGGTGCCCTGTTAGCAGGTATGTATGCAAATCATTCCAGCATTTTGGAAGACAGCTTAGGTAAATACCTAGAAAGCTAAATATGTTTTACATTATTATTCAGCAGGTGCAAATCCAGGCATCTATCCAAATTAGTTAAAACTTTTGTCCTCACAAAAACTTTCACTAATAGTTTACAGCAGTTTTATTAATAATTGTCCAAAAATTAAATTGATAAATACAATTATGAAGACATAAACGAGCTATGGTATATCTACACAACGGGATATTTTTCAGCATGGTAAAGAGAAATGAGCTCACAAGCTAAGAACACTTTAAGTGCACATTGCTAAAATCAAAGTAGTCAGTTCAAAAAGGCTACAAAAAATGTTTCCAACTATACACAGTTCTAGAAAGGAAGTGTTGTAGACAAAATTAAAAGATAAGTAACTGATAGGGAAATTGAGAAAAAAATGGGAAGGGATAAAAATATAGAACAAGGGGCATTTTAAGATTTTGAAATCATTTTGTATGATACTATAATGGTAGTTTCATGACATTATACATTTGGCAAAAACAGCAAAAGTATACAGCATGGTGAGCCTTATATGATCTATAGACTCAAGAAGTATATTAATATTTCACTATCAATTATAACACATATCACTCTAGTGCAAGATGTTAATAATGGAATAAACAATATGCTGGAGAGTAGAGTCCTGGGAATTCTGCACTGCTAATATATTTTTGTGAACATGAAAAGTCTCTGTGATGGTTTGAAAGAAAATGGCTCATAGGCTGTGGCACTATTAGGAGGTGTGACCTTATTGAAATAGGTGTGATGTTATCAGAAGAAGTATGTTACTGGAGGCGGGCTTTGAGGTCTCAGATGCTCAAGTTAGACCCAGTGTGACCCACATCTCTTCCTGCTGCCTGTAGTTCAAGATGTGAAACTCTCAGTTCTTTCTCTAGCACCATGTCTGCCTGCATGCCACCGTTCTTCATACCATGATGATAATGGACTGACCCTCTGAACTGTGAGCCCGCCCCAGTTAAATTTTTTCCTTTACAAGAGTTACCACAGTCATGGTATCTCTTCACAGTAATAAAATCTTAAGACAACCTCTAAAGCTAAATGTTATTAAAATGCAAAAAAACTGCATATCTATTGTGAAAAGCATGATTGTATTGATGATGCAAGCATCCTGAGTAACTATGCACTAATATTGATCCAATGAATATTATTGACATAAATCCGAGATATAAGATCTGTGCATTAATTCATCCCTCACAAGAAATATAGAAAGTCACTGTGCTGGCTGATTTTATTACAAATTGACACAACTTAGAGTTATCAGAGGGAAGGGAGCCTCAATTGAGAAAATGCCTCCATAAGATTCGTAGGCAAACCTGTAGAGCACCTTCTTAACAGTGATTGATGGGGGAGGGCCAAGTTCATTGTGGGTGGGGCTATCCCTGGTCTGGTGGTACTGTGTTCTACAGAAAAGCAGGCTGAGCAAGCCCTGGGGAACAAGCCAGTAAGCAGCCCTCCTCCTTGGCCTCTGTATCAGCTCCTGATGAAAGGTTACTGCCCTGATAAAGTTTCTGCCCTCTCCATTGTCCATAATGAACTGTTACATAGAACTGTGAGTGAAATAAATATTTTCCTTTCCAAGTGGTTTTTGGCCATGGTATTTAATCGCAGCAACAGTAACCCTAGCTAAGACACTTAGTGGCACAAGAGGTTTAAACTTGGTCACCATTATACAGATGGAAAATTGCAAAATTAAAATTCTAATCAAAGCCACTTGGTTCCAAAATAGTCTTTTTTAAAAACCACTGCATAATAGTTTAAATGGTGAAATTTGTGAATCTGGCAAGTGATCACTTCTAACAAAGACCAAAACTCACTCACAGAAACTAAGGAAATAAAATGACCTACAGTTTGCATGGTGCAACTGGAAATGAAGAAATGGCAGACACAGGTACAAAAAATCTGGGATGCTGATATTGGGTGTAGAGTGCTGGGCCATGCACTCTGACTGTGTCCCACCAGCATCCCAGAAACTCAGATCTACTTTCTACATCTACATTAAGGAGATGGGTTTTGTTCTGCAGAGCTGAAGTAGGAGGCAGGAATACCAGTTCCTTGTAGGAAAACCAGTTTGAGATTGCAGTCACCCCGGAGGAAACATCTGTGGATGATCGTTTCTGCACACACTTGTTTTATCTGAAGGTCAATGGGCAATCAACGCTCATACTTTGACCAGGGGAAGTCTGTGTCAGTCTCATGAATCTGAAGCACTGGGTCCTTGACATAACTGTGCTCAAAGCACATTGACTCAGTACTTCATTCAGCACGGCATCTGCTCCTTACACTTCCACTCGGGGATTCTCTGCCCCCCCCCCCCGCCTCAAACAAAACAGAGTAGGATAAAAGGCAGCTCTTAATCTTTTAACTCACTATCCACTAAAAAAAGGGCTCTTATCAGAGTGAGGGAGTCATGAGAGAGGTTGGGGGGAGATCTCAAGAAGTGAGAAAGAAATTCCAGAGAACATCAGCTAAAAGACTGTGAAACAGGAGATGGAACCAAGAGAAATGACAAGAGTACTCACATTTACCAAGAATACACTAAACCCTAAGTGTTCCTTGTTTGTGC